GCATGTCTAAACGAGGCTTGTAAATGGGGTCGTGCCTGTCTTGGAGACTCGATCGATGATAGATCTGGGGATCCAGGGATGCCATCTGCACGGAAATAGCGATCCATATCCGACGCGTCGAATTCTGAAGGAGGTTTCACTGATTCTATGGGAGCCGGTGAGGTCGGGCTGGGTAAGGCCGGTGCTGTCTTCCCACCCATACGGTAAATACGCTTGCGCTTCGCTTTCACCGGCTGTCTGTCAATTCCATTAAGGGCTCCCGGATCTCGCGGGGGCACACTGCGAACAGTGAAGTGCGAGAGGGAGCGAGTATACGGTGAGAGGGTGTGATTCGAGTGGCTGAGCGTTGACAATTGGTGTATACTGTTGTTGAGCGATGGTCGTAGAACAATTTGAGGGTTAGGTTCGTGTATTTCGTGACCGTTTGGAGGCGAGCCTGATGCGAAGGGGTCATGTGCTGATGTAGAGGTAGAGAAAGCCCCACTGTTAGCTCGAGGACGTCGTATATATATTCCCTGGCCTTCACTGTCGTCGGAGGAGCGTAATGGGGAAGGTGGAGTGGCGACAGCAAGCCTCAACCCGCTGTTGGAACGAGAATGAGGCTGCGTGCGGGCACCCTCATGTCTTGTTGTGCCGGGATGAAGTGGTGGAGTAGATGTAGTTGGCACTTCGAACATTGATCGTGGACGAGCAAGATTAGGTCCATATAACGACTCCATCATGCTGGTGGCAGAAATAGATGACTGCGTCCGTCCTCTCGCGCCAAACTGTTGCGCAAGGTTGTTTGGAAAGGGAAATTGGTGTATAGGTGATCCAGGGCTCTCGACAGGCGATTGAATCATGGACTGGGAATGATATATTCTCGGTCGCGTGATGGTCCCTCCTCCGACGGCGGGACGGGTCTCAAACTCGTCTTGCTGGCCAAGAGAGGAGACGGACGGCGGTGGAGAATAGTCTGGCACAGTGTCATCCCAGTCAACCACATCAAATGACCCTGATTCTTCATACCCGTACTCTCCTTCAGGCCCATCAGATTCTTCGGCTAGGTCTGCAAGACCCTTGTTGGGCGAAAAAAGTTGACCGAAAGATGTAAATACACTTTTGGCTGGAACGCCTTCAGGGCGGAGACCATAGGTGGGATCGAAATTCTCTAGATCTGGGAAAGAGGTTGGTGCAGCTTCCTCAGGGACAAGAGGGCTGATTTTCGGGCGTAACCTGTGCTTTCCGCCGCTGCTCGCTATAGAAACAGAGCGCCCCGAAGAAGAAGACGGACCGCGACCATAAGATAATGGACCTGGACCAAGGGAATGTTGGCGAAGTAAATGTTGGTGTAATCCGACATTGCTCGATATAGGACCACCGGATAAATCCGGAGCAGACATATTATCGAAGACCTGTCTTCGGGGGGAAGATGGCGCAGCTTTGTTCAAATATGGTGCTTCCACTTTGGCCTTGACCCATTGTTGGCTAAGTCTGTGAATGATGCCAGGAAGATCCTCCCTAAACATCTGTCGCAACTGTCCCTCAATCTCCTTCTGGATGAATTTCTGAATCACTGCAATGGAATCAAAACTGCTGTTGATGTCCACGTTCTGCAAGGGATCGGTTTTGAAGACAAGGGTAATCCCCTTCTGTTTCGAAACAACGAGGACGACATAGGAGTTGAGTTTGAAATGGGATAGACGCAGCAGCATGGGCACTACGAGAGGTTGCTTTGCCGCCAGCATACCCCGCGATCCCGACATCAGATGTATATCCGGTTGTTTGTGATTCAATGGATTGGCCTGCACATGAGTCCGAATGTTAGCACGAAAGTACGGCAATGAGGCACAAATATAAGAGCTCACTTGGACTTTTGTCTTCAAAACAATATGCGCATCGCCTGCATATGTGAAGCGAAATATGCCTCTGAATTGGTCGACAGTCAGGTCGCCAATATCCCTAATTTCTAACTCGGGCGGTTCAGACCCCATCTCGAGCTCTACCACTTCGATCCTGTCCGCTATGACCGGGGGTTTGTTACCCTTGTTGAGAGCGGTATTGAGCATTTGAATTGCATCGGTATGGAACTGCTCGCTGAAGCGAGGCCATTCGAATGAAAAAGACATAAAGTCATGAGAGAGGAAGGACAGAGCCTCAGTTCTCAGAACGGAAACGGAGGGTGTCTCGATGCCGCAGGACAAGCCTAAAGCAGCAGAAGTGCCGAGCCAGTGCAACCTCTTCTGATCTCAGACATCCACCAACCGCTGCGACTTTGGCCATGAACGGCGTACGTCGGTTTCTGGGCGGCGGTGGTAGCTCTACGCCACCTCTAAGTGCACCGAGTCCGGTCCAGACTGTCTCTCCTCTCAACATATCTGGCAAGTCTCAGCAACCACCATGGGTGGACCAGTCTCCCACACCCCCTCTGGAGAACAGTCCCAAGAACACTACTGCGGCTCTCTTTTTGCGAAAGCAGAAATTACCTCCAAGACCCGTTTCTCCCTCCAGTGATGATGATTTACGAAGGCCTCAGTCCAATGGCTCAACACTTGTGTCTCCCACTCGGTCGTCGCCTGTCCGGAAGTCTGCCACAAGCTCTCCCGGAGCAGGTCCCTCGACGCCTCGAACACCAGTCAAATCATTCATGTCGATCTCTCAATCAGGCCAACTCACTACTAGGGACGAGCTGCTGATGAGTCTTCTCACCAGCGAGGCAGTGGTGGATAGCAGGGATTTCGAGATTCTCAGTGCCGAAGAGACCGAGGAGCTGAAAAAGGTACGCTAATCTACACATTCAAGAGCTGCAGCTAAGTCACCACAAGGAGCAACAAGTCCTCGCTTCTCGTCTGGGTGCCATGTCTAAGAAACTTAACTTGGAAACTAAAATTCGCGACGCTGCGGTTTCATTGTCCAAAGTTAACGCTGCTCACAAAAGAGTTTCTAAACAAACCGAAGAACAACTCGAAACGGCTAACAGACGTGTAGATTCCGCTCAACGCGAAGTGTGGAGGATATCAGAGCGTTCTTCAGAAGTGAGCAAGAAACTACTCGAGCATCGCGCAGGTGTCCTCGGTTATTCGGTGCGGAATCTCGAGAAGAGAATCGCGCCATCGTCGGTCGGCGAGGAGTCAGGATTCAGTACGCCTAATAGGAGTACGCAGATGAGTCCCACGCCGTCGAGCGTGACGAGTGCATCTTCTCCTTCATCCAAGGCACGATTTGACGGGGCACATCTGTTTGCTGGTCATGCGGATGCTTTGATTCCACAAGCCTCGAGAGGTGCTCTATCACCAGGAGACATTGCAGCGATGGAAGAGAAGCTTAGGTCTGCTACCGAGACCTTGAGCGCTACGACCAAGCAACAAGCGAATATGGCGCGTGAAATTGCCCATCTACGATTGGAAAATGAGCAGATCCAAACAACGATGGGGATGGAGTTGCAAACTGCGGAGGAAACAATCCTATCACTGGAAAGGGAGTTGCCGAAGTTGGAAGGTCTCAACTCTCAAGTCGAGCAATTGAGGCGGGAGAAGCAGGCATGGGAAAGAGAGCGAGACACGCTTGAGGGGCGATTAGAGGTTCTAGAGGAACAAAGTGGTGATGCAAATCAACTACACCATCTACTGGCAGACGCGCAGGAGAAGGCGCGAAATCAGGTTCAGGAGTTAAAGGCACAATGGGACGCCGATAAAGCCCGTTGGGCGGCGGAGAAAGCTCAATGGACAAAGTCATCTCCTACGACTAATGAGGAACTCGAGAAGGCCGCTAGTGCTTTGCGATCCCTTATATCGGCCCACGATATACCTGTCCCTAGTGGCGCATCTCTGGCAACATTGATCGACTCAGTAGGCATACACCTCGATGGCATGTCAAGCCATTTGCTTACACCGGACGGCACGAAGAAAGAAGCTCCCGATGCCAGTAAGATGGCGATGGTCCTCCTGCCCGTCTGGGCACAGCTCCCTTCTCCCGAGGCACGTGCTGCGAAGCTCGGCGGTCCTCGCACTCACCAAGCACGCAGCGGCTCCGTTGGTATGTTCAGCCCAACAGGTTCCCTATCGGACATGGATGTTCGCTCTCTCAAAACAATGTATAACCCGCAAACGCATCCGACAACCCCAAACAGTGCCGTTTTCTCTGTTGAAGCATTCGCTGCGCGGGTGCAAGCGCTCATCCAGGATGATCGGTCCCTCATTGAGCGTTTATTGCGTTTCGCGCAGGCACACGATCTGCTGAAAAAAAACGCAGAGCGTGCCCAAAAACTCGCGACAGAGAGTAATAACGCCCTGGAAACCTACCAGAAGCAGGTTCGCGTGCTGGAGGAAAGGCATATGGATATGACTGAAAGACATGCGTCCGTGTAAGTCGTCGTTTTGTCTTGTGTGAAAGATGCACACTCATTTTGCCTACAGTGAAGATGAAATGCAAAACTTACAAGACGTTGTGGATCGCATCTCAGCAGAAAAACATGAAATTGAAGTCCATACAGCAGCGCAAGCAGATCAACTGAGACAGCTCACTGAAGCAAACAACAGTCTCAGCGCGCGCACTCTCGCATTGGCGGAGGAGGCCGCGTCAGCGCCTGAGAAAGTGCGCCGAGAGCTGATGGCCCAGTTGTCGCAGTGCCAGGCTTCTTTGAAAGATGCCCAGGAGGAGCTGGACGCAATGCGTCGATCGGAACAGACACAAATGCAGGCGTTGCTGGACGAGCTCAATACTATGCAAACAGAAAATGGCAATCTTCGTGCTCAGTTGCGGGCAGTCAAGAAGTGATATCGTTATCCTCTCACTATATCTGCACAGCGGTTATTTTGCATATGTATCACCATTAGCATTTCATTATACCACATCAGACCGCATCTTACCCTATACCACCCATCACTATCATAACTCTAATTTTATCCACTTTTGCTATCTTGCATGTTAGCAATTTGAGTAGATGCAACAAAAATACGACACAGAGGACTACCGTAGTGCTGACCGCACCGCTCATTATGCTAGCCTAGACGTACAAAAGTAACCCCCGGCGGGACTCGAACCCGCAACCTCCAGATGGACAAGAGCTATCTCACTGCGAGTGAAGTAGAAGTCTGACGTCATAGCCATTAGACAACGGGGGCGTTCTAACGGGAAGACCATAACGTATCCCTCATTCCGCCGGGTAGAGTACAGCTGAGCATAGGTGTATCGAGGCTCGAGCACTCAGTCGGAATCCAAAGTGCTATGCTTATCAACTTTCCTCTCACTACGCTGAAACGACAGTGATCTTGATTGAATAATTCCTGCGGGCTTATTCTCGACTCACTGTGCAGCAGCAGATATTTTATGTGATTTGATTACAGATAATAGTACAAACAAGATCACGATATCGATAATCTAATCGAACGTGGCTGCAGGAACAATAAGGCAGCGAACCGTGTGCTCGCGGAGACATCTCGGCAGCCCTCGCAAGGTCTTTAGTTGCGATATTACGAGCCTTGCCACAGCTAATGCAAGCTGTCTCCGTTTTGCATATGAACATCTGGCATAGGAGGAGGTGATTCAGGAAGAGGCGAGTCGGTATCATCTTCATCATCAAAAGTCGTCGTTCTCAGTGCATCCTTGGCTTTGGGCTTTACAGAATTGATTAGTTCTATGCGACCGTTGTTTTGGCTCAAAATACGAGACACACCTCTAATTTGTAGTGCATGTTTCTGAGCTTAAGGAAAGCTTCATGCTTCGCAGCCGCTGGGGAGACGCGTTTCAGATGCCGGAGTCGATGTGTATGAGTTCATAAATACCATCTGGATCCAATTCATCATCGCTTGCGACTTCCCCACCCAAGTCGCGTCCATCCTTGGGCACCTTCCCTTTGATGCCCTCAGGCAAGCTGAAACTCGTACTTCGGCTGGACTTTCCACTGCCAGAGCCGCCTGAAATAGATCCAGTTGGTCGACCTGTGCTTGAGAGAGATGTTCTCCGCGATGAAGGGGCAGAAGTGTCATCCAGAGCTGATGTTGTCCCACCGGGTGGTGATGCATGAAACCCTCCTAGATCTAGACCGGGAATATCTATTGAAAATATGAGCGTTTTGCTGCTCGCGGGGCAACGGACATATGCTGACCGCCTTCGACTTCGTCTGTCTCTGCATTATATCTGACGTAAGGGGTCTTAGGTTCCGTTATCTTCATGAGACTGTCTTTCTGAATCTCAGTTAAAGCGAGGTTGGCTTCATCCCATTGCAGGCTACTGTTGACGAGATCAATGATTTCAGCTTTCTAAGCCAATCGCTCAGGAGGCACTCTGAGACTGACTGTTGGTACCCTGGGCTCGTTGGCGGTGCATTCTTCAATATGCCTTTGGGCTTTGGCTGCGATGATGACCGGCGTAAAGGCGGAAGGTTTTCAGGTTCTGTATCCTGGATAACTTCGGTAGACATGGTAGGCGATGTGAAGGAGGTGATAGTTGAAAGTGAAGAAGCACTTCAGCCTTGCACCAGCCCCGATGACCCCTGGTTCCTCATTAGGATGCCCGCATGAAAACCCCACGAGAAACACACGGTAATAGCGCCGTCACGGCGAGAAGCCCGTCAGGACCTCAATCACAGATTACACTTCATATAATCTTTCTGGAAGAGTATTACGGTTTATGCGAACACAATCCAGAGACAGCTACAGAGGTTATTCCGATCCGATCACATCCCAAGTCCCATCAAAGCCCCGACCAATCGCTGCGCGGCATTGTCCGGTTCCTGCCTGGCCATTTCGATTATGCTAAGCAACTTCTTGACACCGATGTGCAGACCGTTGGTGCCGACTTCTTGAGACGTTTGTGGGAAGCCAGCTTCTCGTAGCATTTGAACCGCTGCGTTGCGATCATCGTCACGATCAAAGAGCGAAACTTCACGGAGGACGTATTCCAGGGAATCGAGACTCGAGATGGGCGGCACACGTAGCTCAGAATCAAATGCTTCAGAGAGACCGACCTCCGACAGAACGGGTCGAAGGGAAGTAGTAGCGATGACGAGCAGACGGCGACCCTTTATCGATGAGATCTTAGTGATAAAGTCCGGCATATGAATCATTAGGCTAACCTTCGGTGGCCGCCGAGCGAGTAGGACTAGCAACGTTTGCAAGACAGCGTTAGAAAATCTGGATCCAAGCGGCGCCCAATCTGATGAACTCTGTCAGCTTGCATCATCTCAGATATATGGTCATACGCACCTAATAGCCGCTCGATGTTATCGACAACGACGACACTCAATGGACTCTTGTAACTATCCGAGAATACCTTACTAATGGCCGCGACCTTTTGATTCTCGTTGAAGCCCACCATACTCTCGGGAGAAATGAGCTTGATGAAGGGGTATTGCGATTGCTGTGCGATTGTAGCTCCTAAGGCAGTCTTTCCTGAGCCCGGAGGCCCGTGCAAGAGAATGCTGACGAGAGGTGTGCGTGTGGATGTTCGCACCTGCTCAACAAACAGTTGGCCGCTGCGCAGAAGTTCCTAAATGACTATTTTAGCAAACGCGACGGATATGGCGAGGATCGAAACTGTACGTCAACAACGCCATCGAAATGGATAATTCCGTTCTGAATGACTTGTTGCAGCTCCTCCTCGGACACACCGAATGCGGGGTGCACTTCGTCCAGCGCATCCAAGAAATCGTTTCGGTTGACACGCAAGTTCTCGACATCATCTGAGATACCTGCCATGGTACCAACCTGATGAATGTCAGGTAGGAAGTGAGGGTTTATGGCCGAGATCCCACACCTTGACATGTCGATTGAACGCAAAACTCGTCGCGCTCTTGATGAGACCACCAATCTCAGCGCCAGAGAAGTTCTTAGTGTTGGCAGCTAGCTCGTGGAGGTCTACGTCATCATCCATAACCCCGTTTGTGCGCATCTTCATCGTGTGGATGTTCAAGATCTGGAAGCGACCCTGCTCGTCGGGCAAAGAGATCTCCATATGAACTTCCAGACGGCCGGGACGAAGCAGAGCCTCGTCGATCATGTCGAGACGATTCGTCATTCCAATGATGAGAATGTTGTTGAGTTGGTCTACACCGTCCATCTGCGCACTGTTGATAAGTATGCGCATGGCTCAGGCAGTATACGGAAGACTCGCTTTGGAGAGGAGCTGATTGACAACACTATCGCCAACACCTGTTCCTCCGCCGCTAGATCCACGTTGTTTGAAGATGGCATCGAGCTCGTCAAAGATAATGATGTGCAGCCCACTTTCATCTCCTTTCTCCTTGTACTGTTAAAGACGTATCAGATACTTGCGCTTGTTGATATGTCAAATATCACAAACCTCTTTCTCGGCATCTTCGAAGAGTTTCCGGATATTTTCTTCTGAGGCGCCGACGTACTTGTTTAAGATCTCAGGACCGTTGACAATTTTGGGTTCGCGAGCATTCAACATCTTGCCGATCTGCCGCGCAAGAAGGGTCTTTCCGGTGCCCGGAGGACCATGCAGCAAAATCCCTATAGACCGAATGAGCGCATAGCCTTGACAATGAAGCTGTTAGTACCTTTGACGTGCTGAATGCCGAGCTTCTCAACAAGTCCCGGAGGGAAGACGCGAGATGCAAACGCTCGACGGAAGATAGAGCTAAACTCTGAATCCAAACCACCAATGCCCATATCCTCGAATTTGAAGTTGGGTGCCAAAATCGCATTGGGAGCAGCTCTTTAACGAAGATCAGTGCGAATTCCTGAAGGGATGGGAAAATATTACTTCTTAGCACTAGACTTGATCTTGATAGCACTGTCCCCTGCTTTTAGGAACCCTACATCTGTCCGGTCCATCAACACTCCCATGTTTTCTTGCCGCTGCCCTTCTCGCCGGCCACCCCTCTGTTCGTCGGCTAGCTCGAGAAGGGATAGCCCTCTCACAGTTGCTTTCAAATTGTGCCCGTGGAACTCGAAGACGAGGAACTGGCCCGGAGAGAATATGATACCGTTGAAAGCCTTGAGAAAGTTCTTGCACATCTCGTCCATGCTGAAGACCTCCGCGACCTCTGTGCGCGGGCGTAGGAAGCCGACTTCGAGATCGAGGGACTGGAGATAGGCGGGGGCAGAAGGATGTGGGGGGGACGGGAGGGGCTCAACGGCCGTTTCATCACCTACAGCTGAAAGACCAATCCACTGCCGGTGCATTGCTCCTGCGCCGATTGTCCCAGGAATCAGTTTTCCAGTGTTATCGTGCCTGCGATGCGTATTCAATATACAACATATGGACGAAAGAGCACTGCAGATGGAACGAACCGAGTGGTGCATGGAAATCGGTCCTTGACCAGGACATGCTGCCCATTCTGAAAGTCCGATGGGTGCACAATGATGCAGTTGCACAGCGCAAGAGCATCGCTCGGGGCGCCTACTACGCCGTATCTGTGGGCGGAGATCAGCGCCCAATCGTGAATCAACGAGTTAAGGGTCAGCACCTCCCACCTGAAGCGCCCCCAGATCTAGGCGGTGGCGGTCTTCGTTCGGACCTCTTCTCGAACAGGCTGGATGAGGGATCGTTATAAGCCTGGGGAGGCATGGGCCGCCCTGCGCCCCTCGGTGGTTCATTTGGCACCCTGCCGTACGGAGCCTGAGGTGGTCCCTGGTGGCCGCCTCTGAGATAGTTCATATCGCTTAGTGATGTTCAGCAGCTCTCCTTTCAAGCAGTTTCAAGTATATTTATGATTTACACAGTTGCGGATCGACGTGTCGTGCCCGTTTTGTAGATCGTAGTTGTGGAGGAAGTTATTCAGGCTGAGTAGTAAGTGCACCGCCGCGGGTCCTGGGCGCGTTGGCGGGACCAATACTATTCAGCCATCTTTCGCTTCAGCACCACGACTTCCAAATCCCAAACACTAGACAGCGGCCATGTCTCTCCTGGGTATTGCACCCCCGAACGATGGCACAGACGATGGCTACCCTGTTGATCAGTTCTCGTGCCAGCTTCTTGGTCCAACAGCACTCGTAAGCTTGCCTGCCATCATTGGGCGCTAAGTGCACGGATCGACCATTCTTGGCATATAGGTTGTGCAGGCCGGTATGGGCGTTCTAGTCATCCTTTCCCTGGTCTTCAAGAGACACAGAGAGAAAAGCAAGCGACCATGGAAGATTTGGTGAATGTTCACGCG